TGTAGCAGTGGCGTTGAGAAAAGTAAAAGTTCCTTCTTCCTTTTTTCCTGAAAGTTTTACTCTTTTTTCCCTTCCAGAAAATCGCACAGGCACTTTTCTGAAACTATCTTGGGAAGTCAAGCGAGCTGTCCGGAGCTGTTCACTTGATTGCTCCTATTATTTTGAAAGGCAAATGCCACCAAGATTTAATGAGAGGCTCATTTTTATGTTCTCTTCTTGAGATTTTTCTTCCGGAAAACAGAATGATGACAGAAAGGGAATAAATCTGCTCTCAAATTGTGATGTATGACCTCTCTTGCTCGTTAGATTACTCACGTTTCCGTGGAGACAGAGGCAACAGAGGAGGGTCCATTTTCTTTATTGAGAGCAACGACAGTTTCCATTAAGAGCAGCATCCGTTTTTTCTAATTTTGAGCTATTGCTTCATTTGAATTCTCCAGTTTTGCAGATAACAAAATGCCAATCATCTGGTTTCTCTACAAAATCAAAAATCTTTATAAAGTACCGCAACCTTCGAGAACATCTGAAATCTTCTCAGACGGTTTTATAGCGTTTACAGAGAAACTGTGCATTTTATTTATCTTGAATGTTTTATTTTACGACTAAACGTTCGCTATCAGCCTGCCAGTGGCTGAAAAAGAAAACTTGTCCGTACTAATCCATTCTCTGAGAAGGTGAAACCAACGGCGTTGTGAGGGTCGGTTAAAAGGCCGTAGCGGCTTTGTCTTCGCCGCGGTCCTCAAACTGCTTCCATTGTCAAGCAGACGATTGCGTGATTTGTAGATTCGCTTCCTTCTCCAGCTCCTTTTTTCTGCATCCCAGAGAGGTGACGATTGTGCTGTAGCTCACATCAGGCACCCACAAGTATCTCACCCATCTGGGAGCGAGATATGCTAGCGTTTCCCTATCCAGCAAAGCCCACTGGTTGCGTTCTTTCTATCTTAGTCGGCCTTCGCCTTGCTCATCTTCTACCTCTTTTCCCCTTCTTGTCATCTTTCGTTCCTGGTCTCTCGTCTACGCAGCAGTGTCTAGACCTTTGGGATACTCGTCCAGTCCTGTGGCCTGATTAGGAGCGTCTTCGACAATTTTGTCCACTCGTTATTTGTTTATTAACCGATTACTCTCCAAAAAATCATATTTCTATCACAAACTCCATAAGCTGTTGTCACGGAATGCGTTGAAGGGTAAAAGATCCGATCCGATGCGCTGTGCCAAATGAAAGCTGTGCTCCCATAAAATTATTTGTTCAACTACCATAATCTGATTGCATTGTTATTAGTGAACATTAATGGAAATTTATGGAGCAATCAAATAATTTTTATGTCGACACAGCTTTCGAATAGAAGCCGTTGCCCTCACTCAGTTAGAAGGCTGTGTTCACTTTAGCTGGGATTTCTTCTTGTGCTGATGCGCTCATCGCGAAGTGATCCGTTAGACTTCGGTTCCTACGCAATTATATGATGAGCTGTGTTCAACCATTGAAATTGCCTTCAAATTAGCACGTTTGAAAAGTTCGCGATACACAGGGCTATTGTGAAAACCAGCTTTTTTTCGAAATGATTCATAATTTGAATGTTGGAACCGACTGGTAAAACTTCATTGTGGCAAGAAGAAAACTTCTACAATTTTTGCTTACCAATTTGTTCTACTTATTTATTAGGCATTTCTAACAAGTGAATGTGTTGTGGCGGATCCAGTTACGGGGAGAAGCACTTATTGTTAGTAAAATGCGCAGAAATCTTGATATAAGCTCACTGTACTGTGCATACTTCAATTCGGCATCTCGTAATAGATCATCAGTCCGATAAAAATAATTGAATAGATCATAAAACTCTACTACTCAGAACAGTGGATCATAAAACACTGCTACTCGAGACAGCTGGCTTGTACTGAGCTCGGGCAGATGTGGTCTTTATTTTAATGGCAGTTGGCACGATATTTGGTACTCGGCCTAAATGCTAGCAGGGCGCTATATAGTGGGGAAAATGGCGAAAAAACGAAGTGAAACGGTCAAAAACCTGCGAAGAAAAGCCTTCGTTCTTAATGACTCAAAAAGCAATTTCGGACGAGTTTCCCGTAGGCATCTTGCCAATAACCGCTACGGTAGGTACGGCTGCACGTATGTACTCATGTATCCATGCAGCACCGCAGCCGCTTCATACCGAATCCCTTCGCTTCATATTTTACTTAACAAATGAAGCAATACGAGCATCAGGTAAGGTCGTCCATTTGTGGGCGGGCGATCGCGGTGGGCGTTCGGGTCGGTATTTGTGGCTTGATAGGGTTCTTATAAGGGTAACTTTCTTGGTAAAGGCGCTACGCTGTTTAGGGTCGCGGAATTCAGCATAGGGGCTAATTCTGCACGGCACCAACCCGTTCTCCACCCTTTGTTGGATCGAGGAAAGCGAAAACAGTTGGAAAAGAGGCATTTCAGGGAAGAATGCATCCAAAACCATCCTGTTGGAATGCTCATCATCTACAGACTGCTAGAGGCTTTGGGGAATGCCTCATCTCGGCAGACTGCGAAACTCACGTGAATGTTCAGTTCGCTCTACCGACAGACATCCATGGAATGCATAGAAATGGGCGGCTTCTTGTCTGTTTCTGCGTCTCTTATTTGTCGTTGCTGTACCTACACATTGTTACTGTACAACTGATGCGCTTGAGAGCTCCTCAGTTTCGTCGGATAGCCCCTCTCCTACACGGCTGTGATTCTATAAATTTGCAAACAGCTTATGGGCCGCCGCTTCTTTGATCACTTGGGGCCTGCTGCATTTTTGCCTGGGATACTAGCATGAAATGAAATTCGTTTGGGCGTGTTCTTTCGTTGACGGTTGCCGTCGTCTGCATGCTTGATTCTAGAAGTTCCACTCTCGCTTCTGCTATGGTCACTTCATTCGCCTCTTCTCCTTCGACTTGGGCCCCGAGAGCACGACATGACAAGAAATTTAAAGATCTGACAAAAAACTTGCAAGAACTTGACATATGGACTTCTTAGTTTAGGAAAGGTAAGATTTTTGATTGAGAAGACAAGGCTAAAGTCCAACCCCATGCTTGGCGTCGGTGGGTCTCCATGCTACGTCTTCGCGTCGTTCATCTCGTTCACCCGCTTCTGGGTTTACCAGCCGTAGTCTTCTTTTTGGCTTTAGGCCACTCCAATACAGAATCGGGCGTTGTCCAAGCTGTCGTCGCCTTCTTTTGCCAGACGATTGCACTTGTACACTGAAGAGCTAAAAGTCTGGTGTATATGGTAATGAGACAGGTAAATTAGACAGGCAATTAGACAGAGGTAGCTTTGGACTGAACCGTCCCACAAGAGAATACACTTGTAACTGAAACCTTTACTTGATGACGTAATGTACAACAAGAATCAAAAGTTGTTACAACGGAAATCTGCCTACTTATATGGTATAGTGTGTAACTTAGGACTGAGGTGTTTTGTACCCGAGGTCTCTGAGTTAGGAGATCTTATAGAAAACAGAGTACTACAGTATAACTACCGTATCCTATAATGACTCACGACTCATTTTTGTGAGCCGTGCCAGGACCCTGTTATGTTATGTTGACATAATTCTTCTAAGGCGGTGTGGCGATATGACAATATGTGTATCTACTCCTACTTAATTAAGACAGTTAAACACATTACAAGATCGGCCTCTGGGCGGCTTGCTGTTAGTGCGGGTCCTTTTCCCGCACACTCCCGCCAGCGGCGGCTAGCTTGTTAGTGCGGGTCCTTTCCCGCACACTCCCGCCCACGGCGATTGTCGTATTCGTTATGTCCACCACTTCTCTTCGCTTCTCAGGCAGAAGGCATAGTGACTCGTGGTGGTTCTGGTCCCTACAATATCCATATCGTCTGGTGAGTTTCCATCGTTCCCTGCTGCGTTTCTTGAAGCAAATACCACACACGTCCTCGTCCTTTATGAGCGCTCTTCTTTCGTTCACTGTCGTGAACGTTGTACCCGCATCCGTATCGTGCTTTCTTCGTTGGCGACAGAAAGCACACCCCACGAAACGCGCGTCTACATGCATAGCATCTTCGTATTCTTAGCCTCACCGCATTTCTTGCTGTCTTGTCTTAGTTTTCTGTTCTGCCTTTTGAGAACCTTGTTTTGGGGTTCTACTTCGTTCCGATCTTGGGTCTCTTGCTTGGGTTTGACTCCCCTCTGTCTTCAAAATCGCGCTCCTTTGGGTACTTCCTTGAGCGCGACTCTTCTTCTTTTTTGGCCTCTTCTTTGACTTTGTAGGCTTTTTCCGGAGTTGGCTGACGATCTTCCTTTTTTGGTAGTTGCATATTCGAAACTTCCGCATCGTCCTCGAGCAAAGTGAGAATATCTTCTCGGAGTTCTGGAGTCCGCTGCCTCTCTTCTAGGGTTCTTAGGTTAACCGAGGCACTGCAAATTAAGACTGTGTCATCTTCATGAAGCTCTCCTCAACATGAGAGCTTTTACTCCTTTTCTTCCAATTTTCTAGCACTATTCCTGCGGATTGGCTGTTTGATGGGTCTTGCTGCTGTTCTATCTCCTTTAGTCGAGAAGCCAGCTTTTCCTAATGGCCTGATGCCTATCCTCATGCTGTTGCCTGCTTGCCGTCAAATTTTCGTCGAATTCTCTGATTCTTTCTGTGGTTTCTTTGATTCTTTTAGAAAACTTCTCCATCTGACGGTTCGCGTTAGTGGCCTCCTCGCCCGCAGCTAGGGTTTTGGTTTCTGGAGCGGTTTATGGTCTTCGTGAGGGTCAGTATGAACAGTGTGACTGCATTTGTTTCTCTTCAGTCGTTTCTATGCAATCCAGTAGTGAAGCTCATGCTCACTTTCGAGCCATCGGCGGTATGTGTAGCTGATATTACGGATCTCGGTTAATACATTCGATATCGATCGTAATTCGGACGTCACGTATACTTTTGTCGATAGTTTGTCGTATGACCTTCCTCCTTCTTGAGTCTTCATTTGAAACTGTTCTTTCTTTGAATGATTCGCCACTTTTGCTTTTACCATCTCTTCATACGTATCCCACAGGAGGTCCGAGATATATTCCTTGCGAATTTGTAGCTTTCCTTGGCACTTTCTGTGAGCTGCTGATCGATATGACGTCGTTTGTTGTAGGCTTTATTTGGTGACGTAGTATTTCCTGCGAACGCTTCTTCCATTTCACGGTATTTCCCGATGATTTCTTCGCTCTTTCTTCAACAAACGTTCGACTTCTTGATTTACTGCGATTATGTCCTCTTGAATGCGTTTCTTGTTCGTTGACAGGCTCGCGGGGGGCGCATAAGGCTCCAGTTGGGTGGCCCAGGATTCTTCTTCACATCGTCAGCGCATGGAGTGGTCCATTCTGAAATGATTCATTCTCAGTAGATGCAATTTCATCAAGACGTCTGGTTGTATTTTGGATGTTCATTGCTTTTTTTTCTTTTCATCTTTATATATTACATTGAATTTGGAATTGGACCTTCTTGTCTTCATAAGTCTATAAGAAATGCCTTCTGCTTCTAGCTAGAGCTATTGGCCTGTTGTTTCTTTACTCGATGGAGGTTCTTCTGAATCATTCGAGTCCAGGAGGGTATGTAGCAAAACTCACTGGTCGTTCTGATTGCTGTCCTTTTCTGACCGGTTGGATCACTTGGTTTCGAATCCTTGTTCCATTTCGAATCCTTGAGGAATGACAACTACGGCCTAGTTTCACAGAAGGTTCTGTGGTTGCTAGTTCTTTTGTAATATCGAGCACACCTCCCCTACTTTCGGTCTTGGATGTTTGTAGTCTTCCCTTGTGTGATCATGGCTTGGTGGTGTTCTCGCAGGGACGTAACATAATGCTTTCGCCATATCTCCCAGAACTTGTTTGTGATTTCACACGAGCTTTTGAGGGCCTTTTCAGCCTCTAGTCGTGTTTTTAGTGCTACCTTCTGTGCTGGTGGTATGAACGATTCGTCCTGAATTTCCTCACTGGTCACTGGATCCACCGGATAAGCCAGATTGATTCCGTTTTGAATGAAATCAATGGGTCTTAGGCATGGATTCTCTTCCCAATCTGCTTCTTGGTAGGTGAGGGGTCGACTGTTGAGGCAACCTTCTATTTCCGTTATGGTCGTTCGCAGTGAATCTTCATTCAGGATTTTTCGTCCGATAGCTTTGTAGAGACAACGTTTAACAGATTGAATCAAACGCTCATAGAATCCGCCCTGCCACGGCGCATATGGTATAATCTTGATCCATTCGATTGACTGGTCTGCCATGAAGGCTTCAGTTTCTTCTGAATCGCGAGCGTTTTTCAAACTATCTGCCATTACCTCTTCTAGTATGAAAGTCGGTGCATTGTCGCTAGTTATCGAGGTTGGTACTCCCCTCCTAGCTATGAATCGTCTCATAGCATTCACAAACGTTACTGTAGTATTGTCCGTGACAAGTTCGAGGTGTACCAATCTTGTGGTAGCACATGTGAGGATACATCCATAGCATTTGGTTGTTTCTCCCGTAGCTGTCTTTGCTTTGAGAGGACCGAAGTAGTCGAGTCCCACGTGCTGGAATGGCCTTGATTTTCTAACCCTACGTTCTGGCAAGTCCTTCATTTTAGGATAACGATAGGGTAGATTGTTGATCCTTTGACATATGACGCATTTTCTTATGAGCTTTGTCACTTGCTGTCTTAGCCTAGGGATCCAGTAGTTGGTTCGGACTTCCCGTCATTGTGTGTGCAGTGGCCAAATGCATTCTTCCATGCGCTTGTCGAATTATTAGACGGGCAAGTTTAGTATTAGGAGCAATGAAGATAGGTTTTTTCATTTCTTCCGAGAGATCGCTTTGCCCTAGTCTTCCATGGCATATCCAAATTCCGTCTTCATTCTTTCTGATATTCAACTTCTCGTAGCGCGGAGATGCAATTTCATCTGCATGCTCCTTCTGATGCTGTTTGATAAGCATTTTCATTGATTCTTCCAGTTCAATAGCGTTGATATGAGTTGTGCATTGTACCTCCTTTAGCTCTGGAATGGTGTCTTGGATCCGTTTTCTTGATTCTTCTGGTAATCGCTTCAGAGTGTTGCGAAGAAAACGAAGTATCCAAGCACCTACTCTTGCTATTCTCTTTGTAGAGCTAAATTTGTCCCAGTTGATCCAGGACTTCGGGCACTGCACAATATTCACAACTAGTTCCTGTAATGGTAGCTGGAATAATCGTGTTTCGGTCGGCCATTCAGTAGGTTTCTTGAGAAGAAATGCTGGTCCTTTCCACCAGTAGTGGTTTTTCAATTCCTCTGCTGTCAAACCTCTTGTTGCGCAGTCTGCCGGGTTTGTATTTGTCTTTGACGTATCCAAATGATACTTCTATTCCGTGTTGTTTTAGCCAATGTACAATGCCTGCAATCTCCTTTACTCGGTTTGAAACCAGTGTGCCCAATTGCTTTGCATCGTTGACTTTCTGAACCCAACTCAGCGCGATTTCTGAGTCCGTGAGCAGGTACACGGCATTGATTGTGATAGATGATTGAAGTTCCTCGATTGTCGATTTAGCTAAGCGTGCTGACAGTGTCAACGCGTTCAGCTCTAGCTTGGGTATCGTATGCTTCGCGTTTAGCTTCGGCAATCTAGACTTCGAAATCAGGAGATGGTGGTCATTGTCGTTGCATAGATATGCGCAAGTGGCCATTGCAGGTATTGCTTGCATCGCTGAAGAGTACAAGTTTATGATGTTGCCCTTTCTTGGCCACTCTTCTTGGGATCTTTTTTGTGAATCCTGCGATATCGTTGCATAGACTGTTCCACTGTTGCTGGTCCTCGATTTCTAGTGGATTATCCCATGGATAATCCTTTTTCCACAGTGACTGGAAGAAGACCTTGCTTCTGATTAGTAGTGGATTGAGCCATCCCATTGGATCGTAAACTGATGCATTCGCATGCAGAACTGTTCTTTTGGTTATTTCTGACAGGGATGGTAAATTGCATTTGATTTCCAGCGTATCCGACTTCGTATTCCACTGGATTCCCAACACCTTTGGCGACACTTGGTTTGACTTGTCCTCCTTCGTAATGAATTTGTTCACCTTCTTGTCATTCGATATGAACTCGCGAAGATTCATATTGAGTTCTTCGAAGGTCTTTTTCGCCTTTTGGTACTTCTCAATGCCTTCCCTTGTCGATTCTGCACATATAAGAAGGTTGTCAACGTAAAGGTTTGCATTGAGTTCATTGGCGAATTCTTCATCAATGTCCGCTGTTTCTAGATGGAATCTGATCGTTGCGGCTAGAAGGAAAGGAGAAGAGTTCAAACCAAAAGTGACTCTTGTAAAGCGATATTCTGCAATGTTGTCGTCCGTAGGTGGTTTAGAAGTGTCGTATAGCCATAGAAACCGAGTTGCATCCCTATCGTCCTCATGGAGGTGAACCTGTAGAAACGCCTTTTCTACATCTGCTATTAATGCTGTCTTCCCCATTCGGAAGCGTTGCATCATTCCAACTAGCGAGGGTAGAAATAACGGTCCTTGATGGAGAGCATCGTTCAACGATAATTTCCCAACGTAGTGGGCTGAGGCGTCGAACACAATTCGTAGCTTTCTATTTGGCTTTTCTGGGGTTATGACCGCTTGGTGAGGCAAATAATGTAGAATTGTGTTCTTCCTTGCCTTGTCGTTCTGGACCGGCTCTATTATGCCCTTGTCGAGTTGGTCCTTTATGACTGCATCGTATTCTGCAAGGAGTTCTGGGTTTTTGTTCAGATGGAGCACAGATGACTGCAGTCTTTTGAATGCTATAGATTTGTTGGTTGGTAGAAGTTGAGCGTTTTCCTTCCATGGTAGATGGACATGGTAGCCGTCTGCACGTCTTTCGATGGTTTCTTTAAACCGCTTGGCAACCTCCTCATTCGTCCGTATTTTCGGTTGTTTCTGGACCAGTGTATTCGTTCACTCCTGAGGATTCAAATCCCCAGTAGTCATCGTATCTTTCCGAATCCAGAGCGATTTCATCGAGCTGCAGTGCAGAGTTCGGCGATTCCAATCCGCCTTGACGTCCCGATATCATATACCCAAATTTGGTCGAAATGAGATAGAGTCCTGAGGGTAGTTTTCCTTCTTTTGCTCCATAACATCCCAAAGATAGTCACATCCTAGAAGAATCTGCGCTGGGCATTGCCTTTTCATCTAGTTTAGTAGAAAGATGAATGCCTTTTTCGTTTGATTACACGCAGGTCTTCCTTTCATGCTGGCCTGTTGGGTATGGGCGGTTAATTATTGGACTGCTCGTATAGTGTACGGTGAAATTTCTTCATTTTTAGTTCCATTATATTGACTTCCACCACTTTATGTTGATTTTTGGTTACTTCGTTTGAAGCAAGCGTTTCTAGGCGTAGTTGTGCCGTTCTATTATCGGCAGTTGTAGTTCTTCCACTAGGCTTCTGTCGATGAATGATGTTTCCGATCCCGTATCCAGCAAAATTTTGACTTCCTTCGAGCCGTTTTCTCCCAGAATAGTGGCGGTTCCTGTTAAGAGTAGGGGTTCTGCTTTGTTGGGCTCGCCGTGCCCCTGCTTCCCTTCTCGGCGTGTGAATTCACTTTTTCGCCAGATCGCTTCTGAATGACGTTCTGGTGAGCTACTGGTATGCTTTTCGTCGTTTTCTTAGACGGCGCATCCCTGGAGTTCGGAGCTGGTTGGTCCCTTTTGTTGCTGAAATGCTGGTTGGGGTCGGCGTCTTGTCATATAGTTACGCCTTTCTTGTGGAATTCCTCTGCGATATGTCATGTTTCTGTCCACATTTGGAACATGGAGGGCTTCGGCATACCTCTGCTGTGTGATATGGCTTTCCGCAGTTGAAACAGAGCCTGTTCTTAGTCAGATAAGCTGCTCTTTCTGACTCTTTGACCGTCAGTCAGATGATTGGTGACCGAATCTTTTGCAATACATACAAATGAGTCTACTGTCACGGATTGGTTGGCTGGGTCTTCTAGCAGAGCTTTCTTGAACGACGTTAATCTTGGAACGCGTTTCTTCGATATACTGCCTTCGTGAGTATACGCCTAGTGCCTTTTGAATTTGCCCTGCATGTCCAATCCCTTGGATTCTCCAAATCGGCTCGTTTCTCGAGGGCCCGTGTTTGAATATCCGCATCGAACTTGCTGAAAATCGTATTGAGTAGCATCCGATAGGTCAACGTCTTGGCTTTTATGGCTAGTTGGCTCATCGTTGCTGATATTTTCTCCAGTAGTTCGGTTTGGGATTTGGTGCTTTTCCATTCTGCTTTGCTATTGTAGATTTCCGCAAAGAGCTCTTCTATCCTTGTGTCGTTATCCCCATATGTTCTTCATTAGACAGGAAACGGCTTCCGGGTAGTTTTCTTCTGAGACCTGGTACCTTGAGATCAGTGCTCGTGCCTCTCCTTCCAGATACTGCCACAAATAGTTGAATTTCAGCATAGGGCTGATATTCTGTTCGTGTTCATCTTGGCCAGAAGGTTGTCCCAGTCAGCTCATGTTCCTTGAGAATTTGGGGAATTCTCCACTTGCTAGATTTATTGCCTGCATTGTGTAAGGTAGCGCTGGAATGTTCGGACTTTAATGGTGAAAGAGGTGGTTTCGGCGGGACCATTATGGTTTCGTCTCGGCTCCGTGTCGATTGGAGCATAGCCAATTGAACATCTGGCCATTCGTTGCTCCATTTCTGCTTTCTTTTCCGATGAGCTGTGCACAGAACTGGTCCGCTTTGCTTACAGCCTCGACTGCCACTTCGAGATACTGTTCATACGACGGCAATTCTGCTTGCTTCCTCGGTTCGTCTAATATTTTTTTTCTTCTCCTAACCAACGTGAGCTGTTCCATTAGCTGATAACGCATTCCTTCATTGCCAAAATGTTTGCTCTTTTGGATTCAACGGTCGTCCTGATCTTCCTCAGTGCTTAGATCTTCTCGGATTCACTCCCTGAGATTACGTCTGGCGCCAGGACCTCTTGCGAAGTTGCGATGGCATCTCCCAATGCGCAATCCGGCCGCTGTATTAGAAGAGGCTTTCGCTGCTTTCATCATAGTTGCTTACCAGTGCGTCGCATATGACGCAGCGGTACTAAGGAAATAACAAGATGCAAAATAGGCAAATAAAACTCTTATTGATTTTATCTGGCACCGGTTCCCGACCGATGCACCATAAGTTAGAAAGTGTCAGATTGTGTGAAGACCAGTGAAGTCCTGATCCTTTCGACGTCGGTGGTTCAGTTGCGTCTTCTTTGGTTCAGCTACTTCCTCCTCTCGTTCACCCGCTTCTGGGTTACCTGGCGAAGTATTCTTTTTGGCTTCACGCCACTCCAATACAGGTGCAGAATCGGATGTAGGCCAAGCTGTCGTTGTCTTCTTCTGTAACGACGCTTGCACTGTCCACTGAAGAGCTAAAGTCTGGTATTGGTGACGAGACGCGTGAATAGGAAGAAGTACCTTTGGTCTGAACCGTCCCACAACACAACACACTTGTAACTGGAACCTTCAATTGATGTCGAATAAACAACAAGAATCAAGGTTGCTACAACGAGAATCTGCCTACTTATATGGTATAGTGTGTAAACGTAGGATTGAGGTGTTTTGTACCCGAGGTCTCTGAGTTAGGAGATCTTATAGAAGACAGAGTACTACAGTATAACTACC